CTGGTTCAATATATCAGTTCTTCAAGATTTCAAAATTTATATGGAATTTAATATGAAGCCTATCTACACATTGACAGGATCATTGGTCCTGCCATAATTGCTGGGTATATATTCTGTATGTGATTTGTTTGTAATACTAGATCTTGAACGTGACTAATAAGCAGATGTGAGAAATGGAAAATGTACTTTGAACTGTCAAAGTCAATTTAATGGGAATGCTTGGTAAGGAGAGGAAAAGGGGAGTTTTGGTTTAATATTTTGGTTTTAAAGACAAATGGGTGGTGAGCATGCAAAAAGGTTTGAATTGCTGTCAGCTTTTAATATACTCTGCAATCAAAAGTCTTAAGTCCTGACAATAACACCATGCTATGAACACCCTTTGTTTCTTTAATAAAGCTTTTTGTTTTACTGAAGCTTGTGTTTCTGAACTGAAGTGAGCCAGTACATGACATCCACATATTTTTATATTTCCTCAGTCTTGCTTGGAATTATTAATCATATGTGTTCAACTGTCCCTATTCTAAGAGCACTTAGAAATATAAATATTTCATAGAGTAGGATAATTTAATGCAGGAGTAGGCAACCTGTCCCCTTTAAGGGCCGAGGAACTTCAGCTCCCAGAAGCCTCAGCCATGTTGGCCAATAGTCTGGGATGTTGGCCAATAATCTGGGATTCTGGGAGCTGAAGTCACTTGGCCCTTAAAGAGGACAGTTTGCCTACCCCTGATTTAATGTATCTATATTTCATTTTTTTGTGGGTTTTTGGGGCTGTGTGGCCATGTTCTAGAAGAGTTTCTTTCTGACATTTCACCAGCATCTGTGGCTGGCATCTTCAGAAAATTCAGAGAAAGATGCCAGCCACAGATGCTGGCGAAACATCAGAAAGAAACTCTTCTAGAACATGGCCACACAGCCCGAAAAACCCACAAAAAACTATGGATGCCGGCCATGAAAGCCTACGACTTCACATTGTATTTCATTTGTTTATGGAAGCAATTAACAAGCACAGCTGTAAAACATAAAATGAGCAAAACGTTTTAGCTTCTACCGTCTCCATTTGCTAAAGATGAAGCTCATCTTTAGTTTATTTAATTTATATCCCCTCCTTTCCCTGATATGGACCCAAGGTTAGGCTGACTATATTTCCTTGAGACAAAAACAGGACGTCACGATGGCAAAAATGGGACAGGCTTATGTAATATTGTGTACATGTTAAAAATAACAAAAGTTAATTTTAAAAGTTAAAAAAAGTTAAAAAATAACAAAAGATGATAACAAAAGTTTTATTACATGAACATATAATTGAGCTAACAATTATTCTTCAGTGACAAAACTCGTACAAACATTTAGGAAGACGTAGAGGGGAACTGTATTTCACCATGATCATACCATGAATATTTCTCCAATAAAGTACCAGTAAACTTATGCATCAAATTTCGGCCTTTCAGTACCTTGTCATAAAATTCAAACAGGGTTCTTCAAATGGTTTTTGCAACATAAAGAGGGCATTTTTTCTTGAAAATGGGACAAAACTAACATTTATAGTGAAACAACAGGATGGTCTGGAAATATGAAAAAAATGGTACTGTCCTGTTTAAAATGGACATATGGTCAGCCTATCCACTGGAGAAATAAAACCTTTTTTCATAAATCCTGACACACAGTCTCTCTTTTTCATCATGTTCACAAGTAGGTACACCACAGATCTGGAATAAATCTATCAATGCACCTCATCTCTCACCTGGAAAGGAATCTCTGACAGCCTCATTCTGCTGAAAGTCTTCATGGCCAGCAGGGATTTCTAATTCATCTTCTTCCGTCTTTATTAGCATACCAGGATAACCTGATCAGTACAGAAGAAATCATGATTTGCAGCTAGTTCTAGTGGAAATTCCAGACTTTCTTCCCAAGAAACAATGCAGGGATGGAAATCCTGGGTTCTCCTAATGCTGTTACACCGCAACGCCCAACATTCTTCACCACTAGCTATTATATCCTTTCTGCCAAAATAAGGCATGCCAGATGGCCAACAGTAAAATCCAAGCAACTCAAATACATTTAAAATATAGAAGTGTATTAAAAACACAACTGGGAATAGGAAGACAGGAGTTGATGGGAAATGCAGTCAAAGAACATCAAGGGGGCCACATCTATCCTTTTCATGGCTAACTCCTCCAGACTCCATGGCAGGGGTAGGCAACCTTTCCCCTTTAAGGGCCGAGGGACTTCAGCTCCCAGAATCCCAGGAGCTATTGGCCAACATGGGACTATTGGACAACATGGCTGAGGCTTCTGGGAGCTGAAGTCCCTCGGCCCTTAAAGGGGAAAGGTTGCCTACTCCTGCTCCATGGGAATTGCAAACAGATCTTCAAACGCTTCTGAATAAATACATAATCATAAAATAATAATAAAATTTATTTTTATCCGGACCCTCTGCAACGTAAGACACTGCTTTCCTTTTTCTCCCTGGCAGGGACTGACGTAAAAGACTCTCAACATACAACCTGATTTCCTGAACAAATCCTTCACCTGAATGAGTGCTTGGGGAGCTTTGGGTTTCCTCAAAAACTCGTTCCTCCTTCATCTTCATGTCAGGGAGCACTGTCAAGACAAAAATGTCAAAAGATGGAGTAGGGACAGAGACTCTAGTCACAAAAACCTAGAAGTAAACGTTTCCTGGTTTCTCACAAATCTCTGTCTTGTTCTGACCAGTGATTTACCTAGTATATATGACACCCGGTATGGATACTTTTTTAATACTCTCCCTCTTAAAAGGAGAAGCAAAGATAGGAGGAAGGAACATCAACAATCCAAGATTTGCAGATGACACTGTATTACTAGTAGAAGCCATCATGGACTTGGAACTATTACTAAGGAAAAGGAAAAAAGTGCAAAGGCAGGCTTATTGCTGAACATAAAGAAAACAAAAAACCACAGAGGATCTACATCATTTCAACCTAGACAATGAGGAAATCAAAATAGTTAAAATATTTCCCGTACCTTGGATCAAACATTGATCAGGAAGGAGGCTGCAGCCAAGAAATAAAGAGAAGACAAGGAATGGGAAGGGCAGCCATTAAAGAACTAGGCAAGATCCTAAAGTGTAAAGATATACAACTGAGCACTAACGTTAGAATTGTCCAAGCCATTGTATTCTCCATTGCCATGTAGGGATGTGACAGCCAAACAGTGAAGAAAGTGAATAAAAAGAAAATCAACTCATTTGAGATGTGGTGCTGGGAAAAAAATGGGAATTTCCAAGGCAACCTCTCCTCACCATCAGGCAACTGTCTGCGCCTGGTAAATATGACAAGCCTATTTCTTAAATTTGGGTTTACTCACCTATTCAGATCTCCTGAAAAGGCCCTCCTCCACAAACTTCGTTGGGGTGCATCTACACTGCAGAAATAATGCAGTTTGACAGCACTTTAAGTGCAGTAACTCCATCCTATGGAAAGCTTGTGTCTCTGAACTGAAGTGGGCCATGGCATCCATATATCTTTGCACTTCTTCAATCTTACTTGCAATTATTAATCCTATGTGTTCACCCGTCCTTTTTCTAAGAGCACTTAGAAATACAAATATTTCATGGCTGAGATACAGTGGAATAATTTTGTGTGTCTGTATTATTGTGTATCATAGCTCCATCCTACAGAATCTGGGGGATTTGCAGTTTTACAAGGTCTTTTCGGCCAAAGAACGCTGGTGCCTCGTTGTTGTTGTGTGCTTTCAAGTCGTTTCCATCTTATGGCCACCCTATTATGTGGTTTTCTTGTTCAGAGGAGGCCTGTCATTGTCATCCACTGAGGCCAAGAGAGTGTGACTTGCCCAAGGTCACCCAGTGGGGTTCCATGGCTGAGCATGGATTCGAACTCTGATCTCCAGAATCACAGTCCAACATTCAAACCACTACACCACATTGGCTCTCACCAAACTACAAATGCCAGAATTCTCTAGGATGGAGTCATGGCAGTGAAAGTAGTATCAAACTGCTTTATCTCTACAGTGTAGATGCACCTGCTACCTTCAAATTTATTTTTTTTGCACATAGTTTTGTCAAAAGACTTTTTAACCATTTTTTTAAAAAAAATAATAATGTTATTTAAGTCTCTTTTAATGTTTACAATCAGTGTTTAAACTGTTATCGTTTTTTAAGCTATTGGAAGCTGCCTGAGATCCCATTTTGGGAGAAAGGTAGGATATAACCACAGTAAATAAATAAATAGAATATTAATGCATATTTAATAAACAGAAGTGAGAAAATGATCCCAAATGCATTACATACCTTTAACTACAAAGTCTTTATGAGCCTCTTACTCACCTAGGTGGTCACGCAGGGACGTCTCAACATACTTCGATCCCTGGAGCTCTACAATTTGTTGCCTCTTTTCTTGTTCCATCATAGCAAGACTATCTGATGGAAGAACGAAAAAGTGATCAGGACAGAGATTATGACTTCCTGGGGTTGCAGGAAAGGATATAACTGTAATATATACAAACATACAAATCCTTTGCCTCTCAAAACAAACAATTATATATTTCCTTCTTCTGTTTTCCCAAATGACACTTTGATATTTGTTGTTGTTGTGCGCCTTCAAGTTGTTTCTGACTTACGGTGACCCTAAGGCAAACGTATCACGGGGTTTTCTTGGCAAGATCTCTTCAGAGGAGGTTTGCCAGTGCCTTCCCCTAAGGCTGAGAGAGTGTGACTTGCCCAAGGTCACCCAGTAGGTTTCATGGCTGAGCTGAGAAGCGAACCCTGGTCTTCAGAGTCGTAGTCCTATACTCAACCCACTACGCTACACAATTTCAAGATAAAGCACAACCAGATATTTCTTCCGGGTGTGTTGTTTGCTTTCAAATCATTTCCAACTTGTGGCATCCCTAAGGCAAACCTATCATGGGGTTTTCTTTGCAAGCTTCTTCAGAGGGGGTTTGCTGTTGTCATCCTCTGAGGCTGAGAGAGTGTGACTTGCTAAAGGTCACCCTGTGGGTTTTCATGGCCAAGACAGGATTCGAACCTGGTCTCCAGAGTCATAATCCAACACTCAAACCACTAAACCACACTTCTTCCTTACCTTATAATTTTTATAAGATTCCTTTCTTCTATTTTTTTAAAAATTCTTTTTTTATTTATTCTGTCATCAATGCTAATACTTGGTTGCTATTGGAATATATGTTTTGATTTACGAAACCTGGTTTCAAGATGAGAGAACCAATGCAAACATATAAAATTTAGAGTGCTAAACAATGTGTACTAATGCATACCAATGAACCCTCATCCAGGAGGAAGATGGGGACACATTAGAGTAACATTTTGTTAACAGGAATCACAGAAAACTAAGGTAGCTCTAGAAGGCAATGTTACCTTAAGGATTAGCTGTATGAAACAATGTTCCTGAGTTTCAGCCACTGCAAGAATTGTAATATTTTTTTTTAAGATACAAAAACTATCTTGCTTACATTTTTTTTCCAAAAAAAAAGGAACATTTACTCTGAACAACTATTCTACCTTGTTGTTGTGTGTATGCCTTCAAGTCATGTGTGTATGTGTGTGTATATAATTTTTATTTATTATTTATTATGAGATTTATATCCTGCCTTTCTCCCAAAACGGGATCCAAAATATTTCATTTCAGTCCTCCTATATTTCAATTGGGCAAACTGCCTTGCGCTTCAATTTGATGAAAATTTATTTTAATTTTATAAATATATATAATTTGGGGCACACACAAAGACATCAATATATAGAGAGAGAGATGGCCCTCCATATCCACAGATTCTTTATCCATGGATGCAATCATCCACGGCTTGAAGATATTGCATAAATAAATAAATAAATAAATAAATTTCAAAAAGCAAACCTTGATTGTGTAATTTTATACAAGGGGCACCATTTCTATGCCATTTAACTTAATGGGATGTGAGTGTGCATAGATTTTGATATCCACAGGGGGGTCCTGGAACCAAACCCCAAAGCCCATTCTGGGTGTATTGATTGATTGAAATGCCAGATAAAGGAGATCCAGTCTTTCTCTCTCTCTCTCTCTGAATGTGTGTATATATACAGCTTGAGCCTTCCTTATCTGCAATTCCAAAATCTGAAATATTCCACAATCCAAAATCCTCCACATGGGTGGCTGAGATAGTGACACCTTTGCTTTCTGACGGCTGGGTGTACATAACTTTATCCCATGCACAAAATTATTTAAAATGTTATGTATAATATTACTTTCATTACTTTTATGAAACATAAATGAATTTCATGTTTAGACTTGGGTCCCATCTCCCCGATATCTCATTATGTATATGCAAATGTTCCAAAATCTGAAAAAAATCAACCTATATGTGTGTGTGTGTGTATCTATCTATAAAAATACACACCCACACCCACCCCACACCCATAGATAGATAGATGGATACCTCTTAGTGCCGTGATTTGAGCACTGGACTACAACTCTGGAGATCAGGGTTCAATTTCCCACTTGGCCATGGAAAGCCACTGGTGACCTTCGGCAAGTCACACACTCTCAGCCCCAGAAAATCCCACAATAGATTCACCTTAATAATAATAATAATAATAATTTTTATTTAATACCCCGCCCCTCTGAGAACAATCGGGGCGGCTTACATCATAAAAATCCATCACATAGCAATTTAAGAAGGGTCATGATTAGTCAGAAACGACATGAAGGCACACAACAACAACAATGGAAAGGAGAATTAGGACTGGTTTGCTCATTTGGGGATTATTATTATTATTTTTTAATCAGAGGAACACAGATTGCAAATTTGTGTGTACGTATCAGAAAGAAGCCATGTGAAGCCATGCATTAGCTGTTTTATAGTTTTGTATTTTACTGTATAATGTGTTAGTATTGCCATTTAATTTTATATTTTACTATTTTAGATTGTGCACCTTTGGCAGGATTGTTTGACATGATTATACCTGTAAAGAGTCATGTAAATTTATGGTGCAATATAAATAAATCATAGACTCATAGAATCATAGAGTTGGAAGAGACCACAAGGGTCATCCAATCCAACCCCATTCTTCCATGCATGAACTCAAAATCAAACCATCCCTGACAGATGGCCATCCAGCCTCTATTTAAAGACCTCCAAAGAAGGATGATTAATAATAATAATAATAATAATAATAATAATAATAATAATAATGGAGAAGGAGAAGGAGAATGCAGTTTGATACCACTCTAACTGTCATGGCTCCACGGAGAAGGAGAAGGAGAAGGAGAAGGAGAAGGAGAAGGAGAAGGAGGAATGAAAGCCAAAATATGGACAGATCCATAATCCTAAATTTAGCAACAGTTGCCATTGCTTAAAAACCCTTTGGAAACAGTTGCTAAGGTGCCACCAAAGCAAGAGGGACTGTGTAGCAATAACACTGATGTATTAAGCCTTTCTTGTCACTCTTCCAAGGAGCACAAAGAGGTGCCCTACACAGTTTTCCTATTCACCCCATTTGTTCAACACAACAACCTTGCAAGGCAGGTTAGACTGAGAATGTGTGCATGATCAGATTAGAGCAGTGGTTCTTAACCTTGTTGGAGGTACTGACCCCCACCAGTTTCATATGCGCATTCACCGAACCCTTCTTACGATTCTTACACATTCACCAAACCCTTCTACCGCCAATACAGACGGACTGTCAGCACCATCCGGTGAGGGGAGTGGACCGCCGCGCTGTCAATCACGCCACACAGCCAATCAGAGGGCCATTTCTGTTGGTGGAGGCGGGGCAAGCTGGTTTGATTGGATGGGGAATATAAAAAGTGGGGCACATAAAACGTATACAGGTTATCACTTGCAGCCAATGATGGACGAGCGAGGCGTGTCATCACGAATCATATGAATCGGATGTGTGTCGTGACTTCCACCGAACCCATGAGACTGACTCATGAACCCTTGGTGTTCGATCGAACCCAGGTTAAGAACCACTGGATTAGAGTCATCCAGTGAGGCTCCTGTCATTAACAACACTACTTTGGGTCTGGGGGTGAAAGTGTCACTCTCCAGATGTTGCTGGACAACAAAAAATGTTGTATGATTGACACTTCTTTCACAAATTCAATATTTTTTTTTGAATAATTCAGTTGTTACTCAGATTTGATTAAGTGCAGACCCTGATGTTTCAGTGTGATTTCCTTGACTGATTTTGAACAGATTTTTATGTTTTATATCAGCGAATTAAGGTGTTTCGAAAGGCTAAGACAGGTTGAGTCTCCCTTATCTGGAATTCCAAAACCCAAAATATTCCAAAATACAAAAACTTTTTTTCATGGATGGTTGAGAGACTACTTTCTTTTTTTTTATTATTAACTTTTTTTTTTAATTCAACAGCATAATAGCAACAGAGTAGTTAATAAAAAATAACAAAAATGTATACACAATAGCGTATCACCTTAATGTAGTACAATGGAGTTTTGTTTTTATAACATTATTATCTCTAAATAGTAAAAACTTTGTATACAATTGTAAAAATAAAAAATAAAAATATTTCTTTATAGTATTTGGCATTCATTTAGATAGTTTACTCTGTTTACTACTTCTCATCTAGCCTTATTATGATTTCTAAATGACTCCCCTTAAATTTTATAATATATAAATAGGTGCTGTCTCCCCTCAGATTTGTCTTTCAATGCACTCTCTTTATTTTATTTTATGTTATAAAATTTAAGGAGAAACTACTTTCTGATGGTTCAACATACACAAACTTTGTTTCATGCACAGAATTATTTAAAAAATATATTGTTTATAAATTCATCTTCAGGTTATGCCTATCAGGTGTATCCAAAACATCTCAAAGACATCTCATCCCATCCCCAAGATTTCTCATTATGTACATATATGCAAACACAGGTATTCCAAAATCCCAAAATGGAGGATAAAAGTAATTTTCCCTCCCTTTGGCAAAATTACTGGCAACCTGTCCATCCATATTGAGTCCCACCAGCTGACCCTGACCAGTAATGGTTTAGGACTGACATCATGGGTGCCTCTACACTGCACAAATAATGCAGTTTGATACCACTCTAACTGTCATGGCTCCATCTGACAGAATCCTGGGATTTGCAGTGTTGAGTCAGAATGGCACAGTGGTTTGAGTGCTGGACTACAACTCTGGAAACCAAGGCTTTGATTCCATGCTCAGCCATGGAAACCCACTGGGTGTGACCTTGGGCACATCACACTCTCTCAGCCTCAGAGGATAGCCAGGGCAAACCCTCCCTGAACTAATCTTGCCAAGAAAACCCCACCTTAGGGTCTCCATGAGTCAGAAATGTCTTGAAGGCACACATCATCATCAACAACAACAACAACAACACAGAAGGCTGAAGACCTTGGAAAACTACAAATCCCAGGCTTCCACAGGATGGAGCTACAGCCTTTAAAGTGGTGTCAAACTGCATGGTTCCTATATGTACCCTAAGATGGCAAAGGGTGGAAGAAACATATACAGATACTCTTGCAAAACAGATAAACATAAAACAGATACTCTTGCAAACTAAGTGTGCTCCCCCATTTCCCTCTCTTCCAGAGCTTAACCTCACCAGAGATCCATGCAAAAGGAAAGGGGGGGATCTTTAGTTTTCCTTTCTGATCTCTATCACCCCCTTTTCCTCCGACTTCTTTTTCTTTGGTGCTTCTCACCGAGCCTCTTCTTCTTTTGCAGATTTCCAAGGGGAGGTTTTGGAGGAAGGTGCCTCTTTTCCTTCCCCAAATCCAATTTTTCCTCCCCCAATCTGTTTTCTCTAGAAATCCCTCTGCAGATCAAGGCATTCAGCTGGAGAAGAAAGGAGGCTTGGTCTTTGTTTTCCGCTTCCCACCATGTGATCCAAGGGAGGGAAGAAGGAGGAGAGTCCAAAAAATTGAGATTTTTTTGCAATGCAATGCAATGCAATGCAATGCAATGCAATGCAATGCAATGCAATCCTCCTCCAAAGCCAAAGTCTCCCAACTCAGCTTCCTGAGAGAATGGATGGATGGAGGCCCAGGTTGGATGTGTTTGGGCATTGATTGTTTTGGGCTGAGAGAGTTAAGAGTTTATTTTTATTATTATTATTTGCAGATGTTTAAAAAAATTAATTAAAGCTCGTGGGGTTTGCTGTCTATCTAATCTAATCTATCTATCTATCTAATTGCTGCCACTTAAAATGAAAGAGGATTTGCCATCTGATTCTTAGGGCAGAGCTAGAAATGGACCTTTTTCTGGATTGCAATGCCCATAATCCCCCAGGATGCTGGGTCATACGGGGTAACTGTAGTCCAAAAGGACAATAACATCCAAAATGCATAAACAAGTGCAGGTTTTTTTAAAAAAAATATTAAACCTATTTTATTTTGTTTTATTTTATATTTGCTCCAAACTAAAATGAAAGATTTGCCATCTGATTTTTGGGGCAGAGCTAGGAAGGGACCTTTTTATTGGACTGCAATGCCCATAATCCCCCAGGAAGTTGGGTCCTATAGGGTAACTGTAGTCCAAAAGGACAATAACATCCACAATGCACAAAACAGTGATACCTTTACCAGGCCAACCAAAATGCACAAAAACATGTGCAAGTTTTATTTAATTTAATTAAACCCAATATTTTTATTTTATTTTTACTTTATTTTTGCTCTCATCTAAAATGAAAGAAGATTTGCCATCTGATTCTCGGGGCAGAGTTAGGAAGTGATCCTTTTTATTGGACTGCAATGCCCATAATCTCCCAGGAAGCTGGGTCATATGTAGGGAAACTGTAGCCCCAGAGTACAATAACACCCAAAATCCACAAATCAATGATACCTTTATTGAACCAACCGAATGCATAAAATACATGATACAAGCTTTCAAAGCTCCATTGGATTCTTCATCAAGGAAAGCATATAGGAGAAAGACAAATGTGACAACATCTTGAAAGAAATGCAGTCCTGCAAATAGTCATATTTTTATTTATTTAATTTTTATGCCACCTGTCTCCTAGAAAGGAACCTGAGGCGTCTCCGAATAAAAATTTTAACAACTTTGCCAGATGAAGCAGGCAATAGAGCTTTGAAAGCTTGTATCATGTATTTTGTGTATTTTGGTTGGCCCAGTAACAGTATCATTATTTTGTGGAGTTTGGATATTATTGTTCTTTGCAATAATATTTGCTAACAGAGCTACACCAGATATGTTTTCTGTAGTCCAAAATATAACTCTTCCAAGCTCTGTCTGCAGTTAGTTAATTCCTCTGAACTCAAGTGAGGCTCAGGCTGAGATGATTTCTCTTTTTTCCCCTGGATGAGGATAGCTTTGGGTAATCGCCCCTCTTTCCTTACATATAAATGTGGAAATTGCTCACCACATATATACCGGTAGGTGATGTTATAGACCTATGTCCCAAGTTGATTTTTTTGGTATGTCATAGTTGTTCGAATGTTGGACTGTAACTCTGGAGACCAGGGTTTGATTCCCGGCTCAGCCATGGAAACCCACCGGGTGACTTTGGGCAACTCACACTCTCTCAGCCTCAGGGGAAGGCAAGGGCAAACTTCCTCTGAACAAAACTTGCCAAGAAAACCTCATAATGGACTCACCATAAGTCAGAAACGACTTGAAGCCACATAACATCATCTCGTAATACTCAAGAGCCCATTTTACACTAACCCCAGAGTGCATTTGTACCATAGGCCAGCAGCTTGTTGTTGTGTCTTCAAGTCATTTCTGATTTACTGTGGACCTATCATGGGTTTTTCTTGGCAAGACTTGTTCAGAGGTGGGTTGCCATTGCCTTCCCCTGAGGCTGAGAGCATGTGACTGGCCCAA